TTAGCAATCGCACAGACCTCATGCGCTCGTACTTGGTGTCTCTGCAAGCTCTGTGTCGAGGAATTTAAAGTATTATAGACCTCTAATACAGTCGCAGTAAAACCACCTGGTTATGGAAGTTGGGGAGGCCGGCCTGGGCCATAACACAAAGATATGTGCCTGGCACCCGTTCCAAATCCTTAGTACAGTTTGGTGGCAACTCCGTGCTCGAACCAGGTAGAGAAGCAATTCCTCCTAACCCTCCGGGCAGACAAAATTTGACAGCCGGGGATGATGATCGGGTGAGGATCGTGTCCTGGGATTTGGTTCTAGGCGAGAAACCTGATTCGTGTCTTTAGCACAACTTGCTGTTCATAACATCGGTACATCATCCAAGAAGGACAATGCCCCCAGCTCTGGCCAACCCCTACCTGAGGCGAGGGCCAGTAGGAAGACGTCAAAAATTAAGTGGTGCTGATTGGAGAGGCTCAAAGGGCGGTCTGCTTAGAGCAGACAATGAGTCCCAGTTGGGCGGCTCCCTTGTATGGGGACTTGGCGTCCGGAAAGCAGTAGTCTCCTAATAATAGGACAATTGGCTAGTCTTGTTCCCGTACGTTTTGAGTGGTGGGGGACAAGACCGACCTGTAGCCAACAATCGCTGCGTAGGCCAAACCCACTTCGTCAAACAGGTAGACGAAGGAGCCTGCTACCTGGCCAATAGAGGGATGGTAAGGATCAATTTCCCTTCCGCTACACCAATCAGTGTATGCTCGCAGCCTAGAAATGTAGGCCACGTTGGTGGAATCCCTGTTCGCCCTGGCCAGGATGTTGGCAGCCCGCTCAGATAAGGCTTTCGGATGTGTGGGTCTACTGAGAGCCTCTATGCGTGTAAGTGATACCTGCTGGGCTCGCTGGTAGTGCGCCGTCTGGTTGGGACGGCAGGTCGGGTAAGTCCGGAAGCACTGGTGGTGTTTCGACTAGCATTTCCAACAGAAGTGGAAACTCGGCCTTGCTTGGCCACTTGGGTGCAACCCATGATAATATGCGGGTGTGCGCCTGTCGAAGTTTTCTCCGGTGCCCGGTGAACTAGCAGGAAGGAAGGAAAGGCGTACACAACTAAGTGGGTCCACAGGGTTAGCAAAGCGATCCTGGCCCAGGCTCCTGGAGTCAGCAGGAGTGTTACGCACGTAAGGGAGCTTGGCGTTCTGGGGTGCAGCAAACCGGTTCAACCTTGGATCGTCCCACAGCCGAAACAGCCTGGAGGCTACCCACTGGGGTATCAGCCGCTCCGTGTTCTGGAGACGGAGCCGTTCTGAAAAGACGTCGTCAGACTGTTCCTCACCCCTGGAAGGTGGTGTGCGGTTAGCTCCACATTGTATTGCAGGCACCAAAGGAGGATTTGCTCCACTAGGAATGACAACGATGGGGAAGGCGACCCCCCCTCCTTCTTGAAGGAGACCACCGCTGCGTTGCCTGTCCGTAGCAGGACTCTGTGGTCTTGAACTACGGGTAGAAAGCATGGTAGTGCTAAGTACACTGCTCTCAGTTCGAGCCGGTTGATATGGTAGTCCCGAAACTAATGCGGGGCCATATCCTTGGGCTTGTTGGACCAATAGATGCGCTCCCCAACCCTGGGGGGAGGCATCTGTTACCAGAGTCATAGCTGCGGTGAGTGGCCAGTGGCGACCACCAGGGCAGGGCTTCCTTCACTTGGTCCGAGAACGAAACCCGCCTATCTAGTTCCCATAGGAGAGCTCGGCGTTATAACAAGCGTTATACCGGGCGGCTGCGTAGTGCAGCTTGGGGAACGACCCTTTGAACTGAGGTCATCATTCTGATGATCCGAATTAGTTCTCGGAGGGACACTGAGGGAAGGCTGACTAGGCATTCGGCTAGGCTGCTTAGCGCTAAGCAACACGCTTGATAAGCCAAGCTTACCTCTGTGTCAAAACTCCATGCCCAGGGACACCAACTGCGTGTTGGGTCGAGGTTGGACTTGTCGATTTACATAGAGCCCAACTGGTGAAGTAAATCCTGTGTTAGCCTGACGTGTTTGGCTATTAACCCCTTGCCCGGGTTGTTAGTAACCAGTAGTCTGGGTACGGATTGAGGTGTACCGACATCTGGTGAAACAGCAGCCCTACCTGTTTCATCACTCGGGTGAACACGTAGGGCGCTGTGCCTAACCCAAACGGGGGCACCCAAAAGTCGAATACTTGGCCCAGCTGGGTAATTTGAAGGAGATGGCAACTCGCTGGGTGCATCGGTATGTGCAGGTAGGCCCCGCTTAAGTCTAGTGGGGCTAGCCAGTCGAAACGGTGGATGGAGAAGAGAACCCTGAATGGTGTCTCCATGTGGAACCGATCGAGGAGCACATACTGATTCAGTCTGCCTAGGTCCAGAACTGGACGCCCGCCACTTGTAGATTTGGTACTACATGTACGAACACATTTGGGTAGAAGTCCGGACTTAGTTCCGGCTGACGTACCCTGTGTATGGCGCCTTTTCCCAGCAAACTGCTACTTCCTGTCTGATTGAGTCCCCTGGCAGTGCCCAACAGGGGAGACACTGACGGGGGGAAAATGTAGATTTCAGCGGTATCCCGTAACAGGATGTCACCACCTGGAATGGTCCAGGGATCAGTCACCCGCTGTCTCCAAACTACACCGGCGCAATCTGTGTACGACAGGGATATGTGGCCATGGGTTCGACAGTTGCGAGGTGCTCCCTTCCCCCATGAGGTGAGTTGCCCAAGGCCTGCAGTAGTCACTAAGTTGTGACTTGGCTACTCGCCGAACACATGCATGTCCCCCGGTTGCAGAGGTGAGCCTCAAACATGCTTCCCCCGCTGCCGGGTAGATGTCCGCCCAGAGAGGGTGAGGAGCCACCACCTGGCTCTTTCCCCCCTGGGGGCACGCCACTACTCTTCCCTCCCATGGAAGGGTATGAGCGCTTGCCTCCTGGCTGACTCTGGCTAGCGGACGACGCCCTAGGGCGTTGTGTTTTCTGTGCTTGGGGTGCCCTCCGCTTGCCCTTGGCAGTGCTAACTGGCTAGCGGATTCGATCTGAACCCTCTGGTTCGTTGCACTCTGAAGCTCCAAGACTGTACCCACCATTCCCTAAACAAAGAGGGTGGAGGATGTCCAGTCTGCGTCACTGAGGTGGGGATGTACCGTCGGCGAAAACATGTGAGTCTAAGGCCACGTCTCGTAGCACAGTAGTGGCCCCGGCCAAGAGAGCCAGGTGACACTAGGGGGTGTCGCATGTAGATGTGCGGTGGCCCACCAGTAAAAATGTCGCCTGGTCTAGGAGGCTGGTGCGTTCTGCCTCCAAGGTCTCCAGAGTCCTGGGCACGCACAATAATGTGCTCAAGCAACTCTGCCCTCAGGGCTGGATGGGTCATCTTCGATCGGCAAAGACGCCCAGGGAACGCGGCTGTCCCCCTTTGCCCAGTTTGCCAAATTCGTGGTACCGGGATCTGGGGAAGGAGCCTTGGAATCCAGTTGGGGGCGTTTTAGTCTCATCCCACGCTATGGGGTCTGATCCCGAAACCACACCGACCGAGTAGCGTTTGGTCCAGCAGGAAGTGTTGCCTAATGTTATTCCCATCCGGGGGGCCTTAAGCGTTACATCCTCCGCGGCTGACCAACGCCGCCCATCAACACCGTTTGCATGCTCTCCCCACTCGGACGGACAGGGAGAGATGTGCCGATGGAGTTGCTTTGGATCCCGGTGCCCGTGATCCCATAAGTGTTGAAGCACCTTAGGATCAAGGGTGGGGGTATCTCCACAAAGGGACCCGCAATGGGCCCCATAGGAGGAAAGCCTCCAGGGGCACAGCCTCGCTGCAGCTGGTAAAATGTGGTAAACCACCGCCTGAAAAAACAGACTGTGAGGATGCCCTCCGATCAATGGGGAAGACCGAGAAAAATATCGGTACCTCCACCATTGGGCCTCCTACTCGACGTCCCGGTACACGAAGCACCGGTAGCCGAGTGTGAGGGCTTTCCACTCATGCAAAACATGCAACTCACTTTATAACCGATTTGTTTACTGGACGCGCGACCTTGCTGTGACGCGGTCAGTCTCAGTGATTTTGATGGCTCTGAAAGAAAATCTCAGGCCTCAGAACTCCAGTGAAAAAACACGCTTTCACGCAAAAACCCTGAACCCCACACGCAGCTACTACAAAATATCTCGAATGCGGGTTCTATGCTGGTAAATTCTGAATATAACCAATGCACAGTCGACTCGAAAAACGAGGAGATCGAAAAGAAAATGGCAGCGAGCCCTGGTGCTGTCATTACATCTATATATTGCTAAATACATTGTAAATAAAAGACGACATGCATGAGGGAAAATGAAATACAGTTGTAACAGGTGCCGCCGCGAAACCAGCAAGTGGCTTACGTAGTGGCGCCGGGTTTTAATCTCTTTGTTGTGAAAAATACTACACACAAAGGGGAAAACGACACAAGGGTAAAAATGACAAGGAAAACTTATCCTACCAACTACGTCGGATGCCGTGCAGCGGCAACAACCCATGCTAGAAACCTGGACAGGAAAAAGCAACAGAGACAGAGCAGGCAGAGCCGCTCAGAATCATTCCCGACGAGGCGGAGATGAAAGAAGAGTGATTGGCGGCTGCCTATGGCGCTGCCATGTGGCCTCGGTCACGTGGGTTCGTGACGTAAGGGGTAAAAGAATCTTGGGGTCATGGGGCTTCCCCTGACCTAGATTCTATCTCTCCATCATCGGCAGAATCGCTGATTAATGCCTACAGTTCCAAAATAGTCATTTTGACTGACCAGAGTCTATGGTGGGTAATTGAACGTAGTGAATATAACAATATATTATTTGTTTGTGCATGTGCCATAGTCTGCATAAAAAATAATTTAATGTTGTAAGTTGCATTCATTTTTAATTATATAAAAACTACTACAGTAATATACTCACCTATGCTTGTCCACATATTTTCTGACATCTCCAATCGTATCATTAAATTTCATTTTCAAAACAAACACTTTGTCTCCGGATTCTCCTTTAATTCGTAATGTTGCCACATCTTTTGATGACTTTGGTCTCTGGGATGGTGCTATGTCAACTCTATCTTTCATTTCTTTTAATGCTTGTGTTTCAATAACCGTAGTTTCAACCTGTCCTCTTTCACCCTGCTAAAGTCAAGATTATACAGAATAAATATTATTTGCACATCCACAACTTGGATTAAGGTCGAGGGAAACCATAAATCTATAGAAAACTGACCTTGATTGTGTCTCCTACTGAATGTCTCACATCAATGACTTTTCCACTTTTCACCACAGATAATGGCAGTTTTGTCAAAAATTGTTCCACTGTTAACTGGGGACCTGAAGGTACAATAGACATTGTATAATCTAAAATGTTTCTGTACATTAACTTGACTGAAAGGATTGAATGTTTCCACCTGATTCATACCCTGTTTTCCAATTTGTTATCTTTATAAAAATATCAAATGTATATTAAACCCAATGGAAACAACTGCATTCAGAAATGGTTTGAAAAATTGAGTCTTTTTCAAATTGTTATTGTGTTATCATAACTGAACAATGTATATACTGTAAAATACTTTATTTTGGCTGGAATTAATTTCACGCTGAAAAGACATTTTGGGTATTTTGTATGAAATTTATTTTCACTGATATTTGATGAGTTGAATGTAAAATAGGTATATTCGCTGGATTTTATTTACACTGAATCATTCCTTTAGTGAATATAAAGTATTTTACAGTACTTAGACTATATTCTGTAAACCATTTAATAATTTTTGCTGAGAATTTTCACAATATGAGGATTGTACAATTTGATGGAAAAAAGAATGCTAGATAAATTTTCACTGAAATTTGCAATTCATAAATTTGATCATCCTATGAAGTAGTGAATCATACATAACATGTCATCTGTCAAGTGACACCGCAAATCATACATAACATGTCATCTGTCAAGTGACACCGCAAATCATACATACAACTGTAACATGTCATCTGTCAAGTGACACCGCAAATCATACATACAACTGTAACATGTCATCTGTCAAGTGACACCGCAAATCATACATAACATGTCATCTGTCAAGTGACACCGCAAAGTCCAAATCAAAGCAAACGCTGAAGTGTTTTTTCAAAGTTGCAAGCCATCTTTGTGAATGAATGTACAAATAATTTTCAGAATGTCTGTAATATATGTAATATTTGAACTACAAAATGTATGACCTTACCTGGTAATTGACTGGTAATTTGTGTTGGTTTATCTTGAGACTCGCGTAGCCTGCTTGGCACCAATATGGATGGTTTATGATCGCCACCAAGCATCTGACCAACACCAGGAAAATGTTCCATTCTTCTTTTATCCTCAAAAAAAACATCTCTTCTATCTGTTACCTTATGAAAAAAAACAATATAAATTAAAATTTACTTTTCAAAGAAGCATAAAAGATAATTAGCCAGATCTAGCTATCACATTAACTGATTAGGCCATTAACAAATAGTCAATGCATATCCTTGTCAGTTTGATGTGTCTACAGATGCAGTGTCTGCGTCAACTATTTCATGTCAATTATTGCACACATTAGTTTGACAACTGTCTTGACTACTGATGTCTTGTTTGAATAAACTCTTACATGTTTTGGAAAAACTGGCTAATTGTGAAAGGG